AGGGTTGGTGTAGTTATGGCAAACATATTGACTGATACTTGACCTATACTCGATCAACATTCAACCGATACTCAACCAACTGTCAGCCGTTATATTGGTTGTGTATCAGAGTAGTGCTGACTGATACATAAATTGCTTACGTATGGACTGAGTGTCTGCCAGGTTTTCGGTCGATGATGTTGGCCAACATTTCCTACAGTAAATATGATCCTGAAATTTAACACCTGTTCACAGCGAAACAATTTAATCAGTGTTTTCCTTAGAGTAAATTGATTGACCTGCCATAAATTGGCTTGCGCTTTGGTAGAGGTGATAATCAATGTTGGCACTTACATGAGTGACAATTATTATGCAAAGCACCAAATTTCTTCAACGAAGGTAGGCTGATTGTCATAGGAATTCTCATGATGATCATCATGCAGTTAATTAAGGACATGCAATTTTTCATGCAACTTGGCAATAGTGAGAATTGTATAACACTGCAAGTTGCAATGGGGAATTTGCATATCTTTTGTAATAATCTCATCCATGGGAGTAAAGAATGCAGGGCTGCGATTGTCTTATTTTTAACAAAATTTAATTACATAGGAGATGCTGCATTCTACTTGTCTGACAACATTATGAAAAGAAGAGGACAGTTCATCTTCTTTTTCTTGAAACTTGCTGGTTGCAAAATAGGGTGACATGTGAGATGTGTTGTATTTTGTGCAACTAAATAACCTAGCCTTTAATTTTTTTATGCTGTCTGTCTGCCTTCAGACACGCCAAAATGCATTTAGTAAGGAGACTTAGCAAAGAGCGGTTTTCACACTGTGCAGTGCTTTTTCTTTGTAACTAAGTGTGATCACAGCATAACTGTTTTCATTAACACTTGCCATTGCACTGGACTCTGGTGTTATGGTCCACAGCTTTGCTATTTCGATATTGAACATGTTGTGCACTAAAACAGGTCCAAGTGTGTACTAGAAATTTATACCAAAATCATGTGTTCCTCCATTCCATTTTAGACACTGGAAGTTGTTAACGCAGTGATGCCCACTTCAGGAATCGGCAATCTTCAGTTCCTTCCCATTGTTCTTGGTGGTTTTGCTGTGATTGCCTTCATCACTGCGTAAGTATTCTGTAACTGTCAAGATAATTTTGCACTTCTTTAATTTTAAACATACCATCGGTCGCGAGTGACTGTGCAGTGCCATTGAACATCTTCAGGAGTTCTCACTACAGTAGGCCAATGTTCAGAATTGAGAATCACCAATTGAAAGGTTGATCATAAGTTTAAGAAAGTCACTACTGACCAGAACGTTTTACTGTCACTGTTTAAGATCTTCATTCAATGATTCTGGGAATTTAGATCTATCAGTCCTAGCTGGCATGGTGTCATTTTAAAATTTCCTTTTGTGCATTCCTTGGCATCGTTCATGCTCAATGGACTAATTAGAAACACAAGGGACAGCATGTAGTCTGTGACAGTGTCAACAGGCTTCTGTCACAAACCTAGGAAAGATTTTAATTAAATTCTACAGAGTACAATTTTGTCAGTTGTAGTAAATAGAGATCATACCTGCATTGCATTTTAAAATAGTGTTCTGATACTACTACTACTTTTCTCTATCAGCTATGCCATTGCTGTTCACAGTAAAGATGTAGATGCTCTTTGGCCATATATTAGGTATGTAGTACAACTGTAGACTGATTTTATTTTTAAAAGCTGTAAAACTTACAACATCCAAGAGTTAGTGAAAAATTAGGCCTTTATTTTGAAAACTAACCAAAAAAAAAAAAACAATGGAATTTGTGGGTAATAGTATCTAATGTCATATCTATTTCATGGTTTAGGTACAATCATGCTACTGTATATAATATGTAGTACATTAAGGTGAAATTATTATTACTGACAGTACACTTTGGACAGATTGGGATGTTGATGTTAACTTATTAAAACATTAATACTTGCATTCACTGGTAGAAGGAAAACCAAGTTTTAGACTTGTCCTTTGGGCAAGCTGTAAAGTTCTATGATGTAGTCTAGCCTGAAAGTCATTCTCATTGGTGTCGCAAAATTTCGTTTCTTGTCAGTAAGTACTTCAGTAACTTGAATTTCCTCAAAATTTTCCCAAGACATTTCACATGCAATTGAAGAACAGATTGAATCCTTTAGCCCAACTGCAAAATCCAGTAGCCCCAGCTGGGTTATCATGCATGACTTTCTTTCCATGTTGGCATCACTTTGCCTGACTTGTTCATGTAGCTTAACCTGGAGGTTCATTTTTTCAGTCAGGTGCTGCTGCAAACCGTTTGGTACCCTGTACCCATTGATATCATCATTATTCAGTAATATTGTGCTGCACATTTTGATATAAGACCAGTAAAATAAACTTGTTATAAACTTTGTTTTCCAGTGATGCAGGAGCTAGGCCACCACAGAGCTGCATATTTGGACAGTTTCTCAATATGGCAGCTGTCATTGGTAAATAGAGTAGCACTCAGCCGTGTCAAAATGAAACACTCCCTCGAATCTGCTGACTACAGTAACATGTTTGTGGCCTTACTGACATTGAAGTTCATAACAAATCAATCTCCTTTACTACCTACTACCTGTTATCCTGCCAGCCACTACAAAATATTTTGACAAGGCTGAGCACTTGTAGATTTCAGCCAAAAAAAAGAAGTAGACTTGAGTCACCCTGGTCCAAATTTTGTTCCTTTGTCATCTACCAGTTATTCTCTAAATTACACAGTGTAGCTGGTCCCAGTTGTTCATAGGGTAGATAATCACTGGATAGCACAGTTTATTTTGAAATGTATCCTTTGCATAGTGATTTGTCTGATGGATAGTGTTTATTATTTTACCTTTACACAACTGGCCCCTGATAGTTTCTTGAGCTGCATCTGATCAAGGCTGTACATTAATTTTGTTTTCTTTCATGTTTCAAAAACAATTTTTCTTGTTATTTTAATATTATTATTGTTATTAACTCCCTTTTAGTTATAATGCATATCAAATTGTTGGCACTCCACAGAGATTTTCATTTAATTTTATTTTGATTAATTTTTGGACAAATCAGACAAAAACAAACTGGGGTGTGATGGTGGCAGTGGTGGCGGTGGTGGGGGTGACCTTTGATTCTCTAGCATCCTATCAAGCTAGGGAGATTGCAGATTAGCAGTACTCTCAGGCTCTTCATGATACAGGAACTAGAAGTACAGTGGATTGGAATCCAAACATTACTGGCCATTGTAGATATTAACTCTATTAGTTTAGAAAAAGGAACCTGTTCTCCATCTTATTTTCCTTCTCGTACTTATTTCTTCTTGTACTTTTATCCCTTTTTTTTTTTCGTAAGTTCTCACTTTTGTTTTTTGTACTCCTATAACGACTTGTAAGTAAGTTATGTATTGTAATGTATTGTTATGTCATAGGTTATAAATAAAACATATTAAAAAAGAAAAAAAAACTAGAAGTACAGTGGATTGGAATCCGAATGTTTTGAAACCTCATTTTTCGAACCTGGTAATTCAAAGCAATTTTTTACTCTTTGGCAAACACATATGGGAAATGTACTTTTGAGTTTTCAAGCCTTCAAATTATTCAAACCATTTTCTTGATTCTTTTTCTCTTGGTGGTTTGGAAATTCAAGATTTAACCTTGACTAGAATAATTATTCAGCACAGTACTGCACTGGTGATCCAACTTAAGCAAATGAGCTTTCATTTATAAATAACCTGATAATAGATTCTTTGATTATTTTACAGCCTTTATTGTAATGTATATTCACTACAAGCATGTGAGGGAATTTAATGTCACTGACATGCCGATAATATTAAAACTGAACTACTGGTCATTGTGGATTGGTGCATTCACATGCCTGGGTCTTTCCATTGTGGCTAATTTTCAAGTAAGTTTGACATATGCTTTTATTCCCAGAGATAATTCCTACAAGTGGTAATTTGTACACTTATGGTGTACCGTTTATTGTGCAGGTTAAATCCTAGTGTGGGACCATTCAAATGAAAGCTACCGAGCAGTACTTTCATGTGGTACTGTTTATTATGCTGTACAAGTTGGTTCATACTTTCAAGTCTATGGATAAAACCCTAGTATGTGACCATTCAAATGAAGGTTACTGAGCAGTACTGTCATATGGTATTGGTCATTTTGCTGTGCAATGCACTTCTAGAGGAGAATCTTTGTTTACAATATTTGCCTCATTAGCATATAGTGATACAGCTTTTGATAGAGATACAGAAATGGTAGAGCTCTCAGAATATTGAAAGGGCACAGCATGATTAACTGTCCCAAGGAATTTGAACCCGATGTACTGAAAACTTTTCGTGTGACATGGGTTTAAAAACTCCAAATTTTACAAAGAATGTATTCATGAGCTCATTAGCACTTTTGTCACCCAGAAATTTTTCGGTTTTCGAAAGCCAATTTCTTCTTGAATATTACACCCAAAGAGCCAACAATTTCACTAATAATTACTAAGGTTCACATGTTTCAGTGTTTGTAGTCAATTCTGTGCAAAATCATATGTTAATGAGGAAAAATGTAAGCAATGATGTCAGCAAAGATTTGTCTATTAGGTCTGTTAATGACCATAGGAGGTGACCATGTTGCCAAAAATTGTTTGGTATCTTTTTTAGTTGATTTGATTTTTTTGCACTCTTCCTGACTTCTTTGCTGTCCTTATAGAATTTTTTTAAGACTACATGAAATAAAGTATATCTGAAATTCATGTCTGAAATGCAAATAAAAATAGATTCTTCTAATTAAATCTATATTCTGCTGTTCAAATATATATGAATTTCATATATTTTATATCAAGTATATAATTTTGTTAAGAAATTGAAATACAGTTGAACCCTGCTATTTTGAACTCTCAGGGGAAACAAATTTTTAAAATTATTTGGAAACAGTGGGAGATCAAAAATTATAGCTGATTGCTAAATGACTGAAGGGCAAATCCAGGGGAAATGAGTTAGAGTTTATAATAAAGGGGAATTTGAAAGAACTGAGTTCATATTAGCAGGGTTCATCTGTGATAAATATTATGATTACTTATCTGAATGACTTGATTTTTTTCTTCAGGTGGTGAACTCTTTTGCGACACACATGACAGGGGCCATTATGGTGTTTGGTTTAGGCATGGTATACTGCTGGATTCAGGCCATCATTTCCCACAAAATGAGGCATCAAGCTATGAGCTCAGCTCTTAGTTCTTGCACAAGATTTATTCTCTCAGGACTTGTTACCGTGTTTTTCATTATAAGTATCCTTTCTTTGAGGTTAAGGTTAGCGGTAGGTATTGCAAATAGACCATCTCTGAGTTACCTTGTGCCTATGTTTCAAAATGAGTCCCGTGCAAAGCCCTTCAAATGAAATTGACATTTTCATATGAATGATTGCACATGAAAACCTGTTTTGAATCGACACAGAGGACAAAGGCAACTCGTAAATGGCTCATTAATATACAGTGAATTCCCACCTTATGGTCACCCTGTTAATACCACCAACTCGTTATTATGGCCACTTTATTCTGGCCTGAACAAAAGCTGAGTCAGTTAATTTTCTTATTTAAAGAACCCCTTTAATACGGCCACCCTGTTATTAATAATATGGCCAGATTTTTGTGGCTCGTTAGCGACTGGATTAACGAGGTTCCACGGCATTGGATTTGCAATGTTTGAGCAAGAGAGAGATTAATTACCTCATGTAACTTTTAATATTTGGTTACATGTTTTATCATTGTACTCAACTAGTAATAATTCTGTAAGATTAACTTTTCTGTTATTATCCTTGATGCTGGATTAATTTCAAAACAGCCCTAGCAGCTGGAAATGCAAGTGTGGTGGAATACAATAAAAATAAACCAGACAATGAACATAGTTACGATCGCAAGTGGGAAAGTTCAGATGCTGTAAGTGGTTGTTTTGTGCTTAGACTCTTCACTCACTTATGCAGTCCTCTTCCTGCCAGTTGGTGTGCTATACTTATAAGGCCTGTTATTATACTTACATGTGGTACATTTATGTGATAACTACCTAAAGATACCAGCTGATCGATTGCTTTCAAGGTCTTGCACAAGATCACTTGGTGACACTCAAAATGTGAATTTTAAGACTTGCTGATCTTGAGATTCAAGGTTTCAAAGCATTTCAGACCATAAAATGATACAACAGCCTGCTCTGTATTGTGCATGAAATTCTGACATTCATTGAAGACTTAACCAGGTAGATTGACCCAACATATAATTAAACTTAGCGTTTATTAGTGGCCTACTGCATAGTAAAGAAAGTATGAACCCTGCGAGCAGGTTCTAGTGTTTGGGTTTTGCACTCAAGTGCTGGTTTCTTACATAAGGTGTAGAAAGAGACTTAAAACAGAAATGCTGTCCCTAGCTAACCTTCATGTAGTCTTCAGATATACAGTCTTGGACAGAATAAAATGAAAAATAAAAGCACCCACCCCTCCCTCCGAATCAATGATGAACTGGCGCTAAACCCAAAGTGTGCCATTTTTCCTGTCATTGAAATGGGGGGAGGGGTGGTCTTAATTTTTCATTTTATTTGTCCAAGATTGTAGATGCATACCCCCACCCTACCCCTTGCAGTACTGCCAGCTGTTGTTGTGTTAATTAAATTCAATTATTTTTTTTTCAGACTTTTAGTCATTCGTTCTCGTTTGGAAAAGGAATAAGTATGGGCTAAACATATTCTTTATGAATTTTATTCACACAGGGATACAATGCCCATCTGGCAAGTACTTTCAGCGAGTGGCTAATGAGCATATGTTTCCTGCTGTACTTCTTGACCTTCTTCAGAGAGTTCCAAAAGATAACTGTGCATGTCAAGATTCATCCAAGGAATGCAGAGATTTTTTCTCCAGGACACCATGATGAAGCTAGAATAGTGATGTAGAGGTTACCCGTTGTACAAAATGGAATCTCAGTCATTGTGTCTTGGTGTCATTTGTTGTTATAACTTAGCTAGTAAACCATATGGAGTTATTTAATAAAATAGAAAACATTTTCCGTGTTTCTATCAAGTTGTGAATTTACACAAGTGCAAGTTTTGGAGAATGAGAGATAACGAGGAGCCATTATTTCCTTTAGAAAACACTGTATTGAAAGGAAAGGAAAACGTACTTTTTTCTTTCAGTTACAGTTCTGTTTCTATCAAGTTATGAATTCTTTTTTTTCAGGGTGCTGTTACAGGACATAGATATTATAGCATAGGTTTAACAGTAATGCGATTTCCTTAAAAATTCAAATTATTTGTCCTGTAAGTCCTTGAAAAGCACTTGAATTTTTGGTCCAAAAAAGGGTTAGAAATCCTTTCTAAGTGGAGGTGATCGGTAACCAGTTTTATTTGTCATATCAAATTAGAAAGATTATGAAAGTGACAAACAGAATATAATAAATATTTTCCGCTCAAATCTTCAGTTTTGGCCTAATATTAATCAGGGTCCCACAGGGTTTTGTAGCTGCGCGAGGGTGCTAAGTTCCTTGCCCCCGAGTGGGGGATAGTGCCGGTGATCAATGCTCGCCATCTGCGCGAGGGTACTGGCCTTAAAAATTCAGGCCCCTAGAGAAGATAGATATGCAGGAGTCCAAGAGCTCACGCCCTTATGATTTTTGTGCGTGCCGAGGGAGAAACGCCTCAAGTGGGCCTTGAACTCAAGAGATCTATACTCATTAGGACCAACTAGGACTAAACTGGGACCGACTAGTCGAATGGACGCTGACCATATTTAAGTTCCTTGAGTTTGCTAGTGTTGTAGCGAATAAAATATGGTAAAGTGAAACTAATCGTTTCAGGGGTCGTTCATAGTTGTTTTTGGTGTCTTTCCTAGCGACCCTGTTACATGGATGTCACATGGTTGTCACCAGTTTTATTACTCAAATTGTTTTCAGCAGTGATTCAAATTCCTGATCAGGGGCGTAGCCAGAAAAAATTGTGACTGAGGCAATGTCCATCTTTAAATTTGCTTCTTTGGTATTTAGCAGTGTTTAACTTTCCCTCGTAAAATAAAAACAAACAGACAAACAAACAAAAAATGACTGAGGCAAGTGCCTCGCTTTAACTACTGCCCTGCTGATCGTTGGAGTTTCAAAAATTTGTTCCCAATGGTCCCTGACTAGAATTTGTACTATTTACTCCTCCCGTAAGGGGCAAATTTGATCTGGTAGCTTCCCGTCCGGGATAGGGTACGATTGCGTCCGTGATACCCTTGCCATGTTCTACAGAGATAACTTCTAATGCAGTTTTCTGTACTTTCACAAGGATGACATCAAAATTGTCGATATCCGCACCATGCCCACAAGTTATCAAGGAAGAATGGAATACCGCTTTATGTAAAATAACGAAAGACAAAAATAGAGAATTTACGACTCTAGACCCTCTGTCAAATGAGATTCTTATTACACTGTAATTAAAGTTGCACTGTTTGCGTGGGTTCGACTCTAAGATCTTGACTGATGTGTCTTAAAACACGTGTTTAATAGAATATTCCTGTTATTCTTGCAAAGGAGTTTAACATTTTATCTCTTGTTCGTTTCAAGATGTTTTCCACCAGCACATGTTGGTATTTTCAGTGCTACAGTTAAGACTTTCGACGGGGTCAATCTCGAGAACCTTGAATGTTGACCTCTGTTGTTTGCATATTTTTGAGTGAATTCCTCGTCTTGAATCGCCTTATTTTCGCGCATATCAATCGAACAGTCCCTCTTACGATTTGCTATTTAACTTT